AGAGATGAGATACTTACCGTTGGAAGCTGCGTGCGTGCGTACGTGTGTGTGTGTGTTTGCATTACCTTACAGCCTTGGCAACACACTCCATGGGCACACTGAGCCCCTTCCTTCAGGGTGCAATTATTGGCATTGCAGCAGTCGTTGGTGCATTCCTGCAAAGCAAACAAGGGTCAGCTGCTCGTCCTTCACCCTGTGGGCTCTTTGCTGCCTATTTGTCTCCATCTCATTTCCTCCTTTTTGTTTCCCTCGCTCTATTTATTGCAAATGGAGTCAAACTTGCTCCGGGTGGGTCATTTCTGACTTGCGCCCTTTTTCGATAATCTCCCCTCCTTTTTGTTTCCCTCGCTCTATTTATTGCAAATTGAGTCAAACTTGCTCCGGGTTGGTCATTTCTGACTTGCGCCCTTTTCGATAATCTCCTGCTTTTATGACGAGGCAGCAATTTTGATGTTTTGGAAAGCGCCGTTTCATAGCTCACTGCAGTCCGATGGCGCAAACGAATGAGATGAAATTTGATTTGAAGAAGTGCAGGTACCCTCTGCTGTGGCAGCCCATTCCCGTCAGGGGAACAAAAAAAAAATTCTGTCAGAAGCCTAGAAGCACATTTCTGCCAGTTAAAAAAAAACGAGGAGAAAAAAAAAACACACAGGAAAAAAGAAAAAAAATCTTGTTATTTTCCATCTCGGAAGACCTTTCCCGTCAGTATATTTGAAAAAAAAAATCACTGCAAGTCCTTCCATAGGCAAGCAACATTTGAAGCACAGTTACATGTCAACCACGTCACATTTGACAAGAATCTTAAAGTTGACTTCATGAGGGGACTTGTTAAGATGTGTTCAAATAATGGGGATGTGGTTTTACAGCCAGGATAAAAAAAAAAAAGACAATTTTCTGGAAAAGCAAAAACCTTTGACCCAATTTGACCATAAGGAGACAAAATGAAGGCCATAGCGCAAATGCCATTCGAATTTAAGAAGTGGAACTTGAGATAGGGCCTGAAGGGTTAAACCGGAGACACTTTGCGGTTTTCAAGATTCAAGGGGATGACAGACGAGTCAAAACTTGACAAAATGTTGGCGGGGAGCGAGGGGTGGGCACCGAGTTTAAAAATAAAAACGCAGAGGTGCCACACGAAAAAAAAAAAAGAAAAATGTTTTACTTTGGACTGTAATTATTATTTTGTTTTTTTCACTCTGATGTGAGAATCTTTTACTCGTGGGTATTTGTCTGTCAACTTCAACGTTGAGGATGTTGATTTTGGTCAAGGAGCAATTTTGCAGCTTGTCTCATTTGCATTGCAAACATGCGACGAGTGGCGGCCAATGGTGGGCGGCGGGCGTCAATTTGCTGTGCCGCTCCCGCCCGCCCAAGCAAGTAAGCTCGTCACACAGCAAACATCTTGTCCGCGGTGGAACAAGATGTTGGCCAATCCCTCGCGGCATCAGAGCAAAACGTGCGGCGTGAATGACGAGGCGCACGAAGTCTCAAGGCGCAAAAGGCAGAATGGAAAGCGAGACAGCTCCGTCACACACCTGTTAAGCAACCCGTTAATGGGTATCGATATGAGAGTTGTGTGTTACATTACACCCGATGCACTCTCACAAAAAAAGAAACGTATTTAAAAAATGAAATCAGATTCCAAAAGCAGGCCACCTTGAATCTGAGGTGGCGCACGATCTGCATCAGCGGTATTTGTCAGCAGCCAGCAGTCGGTCGGCCATTGCAGCTTGCCATCGGAGCGGTTCTTGCATCTTTTTGTATGACTCGTGTAAGTTTGGCTCTCCTTTACGAAGCGGCAAAAGGAGAGAGGAATCCCGTTTGAACGCAGCTTTATTCAAAGGACGTCTGCCCCGCAGTACGATGGAACAACGCACTCTTCTCGGCAACGGGCCTTCGACGAATGAAGGCAGTGATTTCCTTTTCAGCAACTCACAAACTCTTGTCTCGACTTGATTTTTCTGTCTCTTTCATGTCCGTCGCTCACCGTGGCGAGTGGGTGCGTGCGTGTGTGTGCGTGTGCGGTCACAGGTTGATCGCGGGAGGTTGCTGGCTTGAAAAGTAGATCCGAGGTCAAAAGCGGTCGGGCGCCCCTGGTCTAAGCCCTTTTTGGGAAGAATTTTTTTTTTTTTTTTCGGTCAACCGCGGTCCTGATCCATCAACACACTGGCAAAGTCTCGGTGACACAAGTAAGAAAAGGCAAGACGCTCACATCGGCTTGGCCGCAGTCGCACTCCTCGCCCTCCTCCACGAAGCCGTTGCCGCACCTTTTCCCGCCCACCAGGTCCTTCATGTCGGGCATGTCGTAGAGACACATGCCCCCTCCCTTCTGGAAGTAGCCGTCAAGGTCGCGCTTGCTGCACTGGCTGAACACCCTCGGAAACGGATGCCTGCGAGCGAGCGAGCGAGCGAGCGGGCGTCACGGACGCTCAGTGGCCGCGAGTGCCCGCCCGACGGGTTGTGGCGGAAGGCGGGCGGGGCTCACCCGGTGGCGGCGGCCATGACGCAGCCCCCCTGCTCGGCGGTGGCCTCCGCGCAGCAGCCGTCGTGGTCGTGACTCATCCCGAAGTTGTGGCCGATCTCGTGGGCCATGGTGGCGGCCGCGCCGATGGACAGCTCCGAGTGGTCCTGGGCGGTCCCAACGATACGCAACACGAGAAAAAAAACGTCGGGTCAAGAATGAGCCAATGAAAAAGGGGGTTGTTAGCGCACAAACAAGCTGGGAGAGAAGAGAGAAAACTTTTGAACCCCTCCCCTCCAGGAAGCCGCCACGACTTGGGTCACTTTGACCCAACTGTTTGTTTGGTTGGTGTTGTCATGTCCAAGTAAACAGGTTTCCTGTGGAGCAAAGTCATTGCGGCACATACCACATTGATCCCTCCGGAGTTCTCCAGACTGCACATGCCCTCCAGCGGTGCCATCCCGATCGTTGTCCCCTTGAAGATCACGCCGCTGTGAGAGAGAGGCGCGAACGTCAACGTCGCTGAACCGTGACCGCCCCCCCTCCCAAGACTTCACAGCGGATGTGCATCGATCGCGGACGCCGGGAGCAAAAGGACGCCCTGACAACCTCCATCCACGCTCCCAAACTCAAGCATCGGCTCCGCTTTGGCGCGGTGCTCTCGGAGCGCGGCTTGAGGAAAAAAAAAAAAAAGCTCCATTTGCGGACGGAAATATTGCAGTGGCAGCCATTTTCAAAAAAAAGAACCTTTTGAGTGCCAGCCCATTGAGAGCATGCTGACTGATCTTTCGAGGCTCACAGAATAATGTGGTTTAGGACCACGGAAAGAAAGGGTTCTGTCAGTCGTCATCTGTACCTGTGGTTTTTTTTTGTTGTTTTTTGTTGTTTTTTGTTTTTTACCCACAGGTACAGATGACGACTGACAGAACCCTTTCTACGATGGAACTTTCCTGTACGACTGAGAGCCTCCACAAGGACCACGGAAAGACAGAAACAACCAAGTTGAAGATTTTTTTTTGGGGGGGGGGGGGTAAAATACCAACAACGATGAAAATGTGGTTTTGAGGGCTAAGTTGTGGCGTTAGAATGTAGCACATATTACACAATCGACAAACTTTACAAACTAATTCGGAGAAGTCGTAGTAGTATTCGGTAGCATGTGCGTGAATGCGCATCAGCTACAAGGGGGGGGGAGTAAAATACCAACAACGATGAAAATGTGGTTTTGAGGGCTAAGTTGTGGCGTTAGAATGTAGCACATATTACACAATCGACAAACTTTACAAACTAATTCCAAGAAGTCGTAGAAGTATTCGGTAGCATGTGCGTGTATGCGCATCAGCTACAACAGCACTTCTACTTCGAAATAGATTTCGAAGGGTCCACCACATTTTAGGAACTTAGACATACATACGTTGTTGCGACACGAGGTCAGCTTATTCAAGAGATACAATGCTGCCACCTGCTGGCAACAGCTAATTTTTCATTTTTGATCTCTCACAGCAAAAAACTGGCCGCGAATTTTGCGGTTTGGTGTCTGCCGGCCAATCGATAAGATAAGCCTATAAAAACAGCAAAGGACACATTCCTTTTTAGCAGCTCTGGACTCATTTCATTTTCTTTTTTTTCCCCTTCTTCCTGCAGGCCTTTTTGGAAGTATCTCCATCTGAAACGGTGGTTCTCCAACGGGGTCCCCGGACGCTGAAAACTTCTACTTCGAAATAGATTTCGAAGGGTCCACCATATTTTAGGAACTTATACATTGTTGCGACACGAGGTCAGCTCATTCAAGACATACAATGCTGCCACCTGCTGGCAACAGCTAATTTTTCATTTTTGATCTCTCACAGCAAAAAACTGGCCGCGAATTTTGCGGTTTGATGTCTGCCGGCCAATCGATAAGCCAACAAAAACAGCAAATGACACGTTCCTTTTTAGCAGCTCTGGATTCATTTCATTTTCTTTTTTTCCCCCTTCTTCCTGCTGGCGTTTTTGGTAATATCTCCATCTAAAACAGTGATTCTCCAGACGGGGTCCCCGGATGCTGAACAGTTTGGAGGACTCACGTGAGCAGCTGGGCGTTGTCGTGCTTCTTGCGCGACTTCAGCTTCTGTCTCCACTGCAGGAAGGACCAGAGGGTGGCGTTGGGCTCCTCGGTGACAATGCACTGGTCCCGCTCGGTCCAGACCTCCAGGCCAATCAGTGGCACGCGGATGTTGAGAGCCCTGTAGAACTGACGGCCCAGAGTTCCCGTCGATCGTGTCGCCAACCGCGCGGCAAAAGCGCAGCTCACCTTGTCCACGTAATTGGCGATTTCCATAATCCTGGTCTTGATTTTCTCATAGTCCCGATTCTGTCGTTTGAACTGCAGTCAAGCAAAGACCGCCGAGCATCAGCGCCACTCACGAGCTCAAACACTTTGCATGTCCCGCAGCGTAACCCAACGTGTCGCGCTTTCGCGGTCTCGGTTTTGTCCGTCCGTCGTCGGACGGGCGGGATTCTTAAAGCGACGTTTGTGAAGACGGAGCGCCTCATCGATGGACTTTATTGTCCAGTCCAGAAGCCCCTTTAGCTTCCACGTCAACTTTCCTTTCCCAAAAAAAAAAAAAAAAAGGTTTCATTTTGGCCGGTTGGTATATTCATGGTTCACTTGCCTTTATTTTAGCATTATTTAGCATTCATTTATTCCATGAAATTGGAAAGAAGCGAAGAAAGCCTCTGGACCCAAAGCGCCGTCACTTTTGCCCTGGAGGCCACGATGGTTGATGGGTAGCCGCCAACGGGGAAGCGGAGAGCCAAGGGAAGAGAAAGAAATGGACGGGGCCGCAGAGGAGCACTTAGAGCGCTTCAGCTAATGACGTGACGGATAGCAGAATGATGGGAGAGTACATTAGAGCAGTGGTTCTTAACCTGGGTTGGATCGAACCCCAGGGGTTTGGTGAGTCGGTCTCAGGGATTCGACGGCGTGAGACACTCAACATGTGTAATCCAATTTGTCTTGTTCACCCTGCTCCTTCCTGCCTGCTTTTTGGGGTCCTCCACCACCCACGCATCGTGACAAGATGGAGGAGGACCTTGAAAAAATAACTAACTAACTAACTAACTAACTAACTGACTGCAGTTGGCATATTCTTCTTGTCCAATCAGTGCTGCGGGAAATTTAGTTCGCTTGGTTGTCAACGTATGACTGTCGTGAAAGTACGCCGTACAATAAAAAAACATATATATACACTCATCTCCTGAAATTTTACTGACATTTTTCTGTTTTTAATAAATGCGGGTTTTTTTTTTTTTTTATATCTTGAATTTGTAAAAAAAATATATATATTTTTTTCACTCATGAAGGTTTCGGCGAATGTGCATATTAACTGGTCGGGTTCGGTACCTCTAAAAAGGTTAAGAGCCACTGCATTAGAACGAACATGCACAAAGCACTCGAGATAAATGATGGCGGCGGATCCCGAGCGCAGGCGGCGCTCGGCAATTCAATTGCGTGGCGTTCAATTCATCTTCCTTTGTGGGGACACATCAAGTAGTTGAGGCGGCCCCCTGAGAGCTTGTCAGGACCGTTTACAGACAGCAAAGAAGAGAGTTACGCCTCCTAAGAATATACGGAGACTTTTTTTGGGGGGGGGGGGTACACTCACCCTGAAATGATGTGGTGCGAGAAAGTCGGCAATGTGGCCAGACAGCGGCATGCGACGGCCGTGGCCGCAGTCTCCGCCTTTCAATTCCAGGTGTTGCGCGGGCAGCAAGGAATGGCGCTGAGGAGGAGCCGCGCCGGGCAGCGGCTCCAGGTAGAAGGTGGAGTTGACATTCAAAGATATCAGGCCCCTGTGGCAAAGGCAGAGCACATTTGCTTCAACTTGGCAAGCTCACAAGTCACAAGAGTCAGTGGCGACTTCCAACGTCCACCGCCGCTCGCGTTTTACGCCGTCGCAGTCCGGTTGTGACGAACGCCCAAAAGGCTGCCGTATTTGAACGTTGGCGATGGGGCTGGCACTCGGACAACCTCGTTTCCGTTTTCGGTGGGACTTGGTGTCAAAAGTAGGGCCTGACCCACGTGCGGCGGATTTTTGGGAGACCCGCGCCCAATCGCCGATGAACTCATTCAGCGCCAGCCATTGTCAAGACCCTTCTTGAACCGACCACGTGATTTTGTTTTTCATACGTAAAGACGTACCTGTTATTGAATGCCTGGATTCTTAAAAGAATAATCATAAATAAAAAAGTCTCAGAACATCAGACATTGAATGAGTTAATCAGCCGATGAATTCCAAGAATATAAAAATCAAGCTTCTTCAATGGTCCCTCAACGCTTACAATAAAGACGCGAAGAGAGGGAAAAAAAAAAACAATTGAAAAAAATCATCCGAGTCATTGCTGATTTTCAGGCAGGGGAATTTTCAAATGTTCACATCTCTCTCTCTCTCACGTCTTTGAGAGGCGCTGGCTCAAGAGGATCAAACGAGTCATGTTCAAGGACAAACGTCCGTCAGCAAAAGTGGGAATCATCACAGCGACGGGCACCTGCGCATGGAAACCGCCGCCGATTTGCATGCAGAGCAGCCGGGCCATGAATCGCATCTCTGTTCCTTCTTGAAATATTAACAAAGGTGAAACTGCCCGAGACCGTGAAGAGCGAGCGCTAGCTAGACAGCAAAAAAAAAAAAAATCTGAATAATAAAGTTTGGTTGTTGTCCACACCTGACGCCTGAGCACACGCTGAGGGCCACCCAGGAATCGGGATGTCCTCTTACATCGCCGTGATAGAAACAGTGATCCTGGAGAAAAAAGACAAACAAAGGCTTTGCAGGAACCTGACATTGAGCAGCAGATTTGGACTCCTTCCAAAGAGATCCATTTGGAAGACACGTCACCCTTTCAACGGAAAATGAAGCGGCGGAAACCTGTCCAGGGAATGAAAACGTCGGTGCGCTTTGGTGCCCCCCAGCACCCAAATGAGGTGCGCCCAAACTTTCCACGGCATCATCGCATTCAACGCAGCAGTTGGATCGATTCACTCTTTTTTTTTCACCGCGTTACCGCCTGTCTTTGTCGTCGATCTCAACTCGTCAACGGCTAACGAACAATGTGGCGCTCATGATTGGAATCGGGAGGAAGGCGTTGGGGCTTTTCGTGCTTGTTGGGATCTTTTGAGCTTGTTGGGCCTGAACTCAACATTCGACACGTTGTCAAGCCTTCTTTTCCGTTCACAGTTATTTCGCATCCAATGGGCGGAGGTCACTCACAACACGGGTGCCAGTCTAGCGCGCCGCTCTGCCCGCCCCTCGGCCATTTTGGACACTTGGTGCAAAAAGTTCCAAGGACCACTGACAGCGCTATTTTCTTGCTCGCTGATCGTGAGGTTTGGCTTGTCTGCGTCCGATAGGCTGGCTGCTTTCCCAAGCAAAAAAATTAAAAAGGACAACGATGACCCGCCGGTGCTTCAAAAGTCAAGCCGAACATTTCCCGCTAACATTTTACCACGTGAAAAGCAAACAAGCCTGATGTGAATCTTTGTGGAAGCAGAAAAGACTCGCAGGAGTTCCCGAGATCAAAGGCGGCCATATTGGCCTTATTACCAGCCGCTCATGTTAAAAGGAGACTTTATATCGCCACCAGGTTGAAATTATGCAGGCAGGTTGGGAGGTTTCGTGTGTGTGTGTGCGTGTGTGCGGGAGATTGTCAGTTCATCAGAGCGTGAAATGAGCTCTTTCATTCCGGCTCGGTGATAGCGAACATCCAAATTAATTGTCAGCGAGAGGCGGGTGGGGTGGAACGAGCGCCCCCGCCTCCCGCCCGACATCCGGCAATTAACCACCGCCAGGGTGCAGCGCCTCGGCATGGGCGGCGTCCAAACGGGGGATGCTGTCATCTCTTGGGGGAAAATGCAACAAATTCAAATGGAGGGGAATTTGCAAATGGCAAAGGCTGCTGCACTTTTGAAAAAAGCTTTTTTTTTTTTTTTTTTATAACAAATTGTCTTTATTTTAGCTTTCGCATAACCTATGCGACCCGATATTATTTCTGCTAATATATGTCAATGAAGCGCAGGGGGGGGGGGTTGTGAAGTTTGGCCACAGCGGAGTTTCGAAAATGAGCCGACAGCGTCTTTCCTTTTGGAAAGACGACCCTCCCGAGTCCTACTTGGGGAAATCTCTCTTGGCCAAATCCGTTGTGTGTTAAAGAGAAAAAGAAAGTGGAGGAGATCCCATCTCCCGCCGCTTGAGCACAACATCATTTTGTCATTGGTGGGAGCGGATGATCCAAGAAGCGACTTTCAGCCCGTGCTCGCAATCACTCCCCAGTCAGGAGCGACTCACTCGGCGCTTATCTGCTCCATTTGCTCGCCCGCAATGCATCTTGAAAAGCAGTCAGCAGCAGACGCTCACCAAAGAACGGCACCCAAAGTGACAAGGGGGGGCGGCGGGAACGATCCCTTCAATGTTCCGGCAACTTCACAAGCATCATCTCCAATCACGTCAAAGTCGGTCTGGGGGTAAAAGTTTCCCATTTGGATCATTTCAAAAAGATTCTCCCTCTTTGTTTGCACACCATCGTTGAAAACGATGGCCAAACGCCGACGCGCTTGGAGACTCGTTAGTTCCTTCCCTTTTCAGCGCAATTTCACTTCTTACGATATTGCAAACACAGGACAGAGGTCAAGGAATCAAGTTGAGAGGGGCGGGGGGTGGGGGGGGTCATCAATTTGCGGATTCGCCATCGAAAGGGATGGCCGTTCATCGCCGCCGCCGGCTTGACTGCACAGTTTGTATGGACTTGACTTACAGTGTAATTCCTTGTGGTCACGGTCACCGGCTGTCCTTCGTCTGTGTAGTAGGTCTCGGCGAAGTCTGGACCCAAAAGCTCACTGAAACAACACAACAGATTGAGTCACTAACATGCACGGGCCTCACTTTGTGTCTCGAGGCGCGCTCTGAAAACGACGGCGGGATAAAGACGGCGCGGCCGCGTCGACGAAGCGCACGTCACGTTTCCGGTGACTTCCTACGGAACGACCGAAAGGCTCGATCGCGTGCGGCCATGCCCGCTGGGATCAACCGGGCCGCGCTCGCAAAATGCTTTGCGATGATGCAACACTGACGGGCGGGTTGTCTGAAATCACAGCATCAGTTGGGCTTCCTTTGCCGGCGGTTGTTGGGGAGAAAACGCAGGCAGCGATCACCGCCCGAGGCTTGTGCGCACGAGCAGGGGTCCGTTCTAGGAAAGGCCCCCCCACCCTCCAGGCAACACCTCCCGTTGCTTTAATTCGAGTCAGAAATCAAATGGGCCCAAGAGGGCAAGACGAGGCGCAATTAAAGCTGCGTGCAGTTCGGTGAGGAGCCAAAGGGAAAAATTGCAGGTTGTCTTCCCGTGGCAACATCAAATCTTTGCGTCTTCTTGTTGTGCATTGTAGCTTGACATTTAAGAAAAGCAAAATAATAATAATCATCAGAATGTTCACCGGCTAGCCTCTGGTTAAAGAAGAATAAAATGAAAAGAAAGAAAATCAATGTCTTGGTTGTAGTTCATGTCATGACACGGAATTCCCCGCTTCTCCGGGAGACATCTGGAAAAAGAGGCCAAGCATCTGCGCGCTGTCTGCAAGCAAAAGCAATTACACGCCGAAGACAATCAAACGCACAAGTGCTGTTTTATGATGGGAAGCAAAATGATGACATACAAAAAAAAAAAAAAAAGAACAAACTGCCTTGTTTTCAATGATTTTCTTTGTGTGAGTGTTTTTTTTTTTTTTTATCCATAAGACAAAGATAATGATGTGCGAATGCGCCCCAACCCCCCCAGTCAGCAAAAATCGCTCCGTTATGTAGCAGACATTGTTTCTCTTTTTCTCGATTGGAAAGTTAAACCAATTCCAAAGGACAAAGTTTTGGAAAGCAGGTCACTGATCTCACATATTTCATTTTGAAGCGTTTAGGGGACCCCCCCCCCCTCAAAAAAAAAACAGTTATAGCATTCAATATATATATATCGCTGATAATGATGTGTGCGTTTATTAATTGGTTTGCAAAAAATAAAAAATCCCAATCGGTCAGCCCCAACTGTTATCATTTTTAAAAATAAAACCTTGGTTATCGACCTTTCCAGGGGACGCATCAAGGAAAATAAACTTTTATCATTTTGTTTCAAACGCAGCGCACATAAAAAGTGTTGAAATGGCAGTTTTTGGGTGCTCTATCCAGTGAGACCAAAACTGTTCCCACCATTGTGACCCATCATCGATTGGAAAAAAAAAAAAAAAAAGAAAATTCTTTTAGAGCGGGGAGGTCAAAATAACAACTGGGATGATGCGGATGCACAAGTGTGCACACCCTCAATTTCCACTGTTGTAGCAAGCGTTTGCGGCCACGTTTTGCTTTGTGCTCAAACTTGAACGGATCATATTTCCCTCCACTTTGACACGGATGGGCCTTGGAACAACAGGTCACAGATAGAAAAAAAAACAAAAAGCTGACAATGTCGCCTTTCCACACATTATCGGCCTTAAAAGCGCTCTTGCACTCAGGCCGCAGGAGCAGACCTGCATGCAAAGCATCCGCCGAGCAAAGCGAACAAACACAAAGAGGCTCCGATACAAAGACTTTTGTAAAAAGAAGTCCTGTACATAAATCAATCAAAACAACACAGCGTCTTTGGCCGTGTACACTTTTGATCACAGTAAATGTCTCTGGGGAAGCGAGAACGTGAGCAAGGTGCCGTTTGCTCTGGCCAGATATTCCAGACTCGAAGGGGGTGGGGAGGGGTGCGAAATAAAAGATGGCGAGCGGGCCCTCTCGGCCCCTCTCGGCCAATCGCTTTCACAAGGTCACATAGTGAGCTACGAGACTCTTGAAGCGAGAGCACCAAAGCGACGAGTCGGCTACTTCCTGAACGAGACAGGAAGCGGATGAGGGCGCGGGGCGGGGTCGCCCTCAGCCCAGCCGCGGCACCTGTTGTCAAGGGACTCCTTCCGCAGCGCACCGCTCGCCCTTCACCACTTCCTCTCAGTGGCTTGGGTGGGGTTTTTTGGCGTTCATTTCAACGGGGGAGGTCAAAGGGCACGGCCGCAGTGCAAATTCAACTGCTCCAGTTTCAGCTATTGCCTGCCCCTCCCGGGACCAAAAGCTCATCAGTATTTTTCCTTTTTTTTTTTTTTGTGGTTGCTTTCCACGCCGCCGTTGACTCAAAGCTGTCAATCAACATCACAGACATGTCATGCAGAGCCGAAATAGACTCCGGTAAGAAGAACAAAGCCTCTATCTGATTTGAAATCACAAAGCGGAAACACAAGAGGGGCTGGCGCTGAGCTCAAACAAATCATTTCCTGGGGTTTGAAAAAGAAATCAATGAAGACAAGCGGGCTACTAAAACAGACTGATGGCTCTGCGTAAAAGCGTTGGAGATTCTCGCAGGAGTCCAAATTCACACCCGGTCACGTCGGGCGGCAACGTGTTTAGCTTAAGTCAGCGCGTTATCTAGGACGTATTTCCCTGTCGGCGGAGCTTTCACTGTCTTCTGATGGTCTTGATGGCAGGCTGCCGCAATAAAAAAATTATTTTATATACATATATGTGTGTGTGTGTGTGTGTGTGTAACATATTCGGGTGGAAATGGTTTGTTCGGGTTTGCCACTCCGATGCTAACGCTCGCCGAGGAGTCGTCAGTGTCCCGAACATGTGGGAGCCTCCCGGTGAATGTCGTGTGGAAAGTCATTCCAAGAACGATTAACCAGAACTCCACCGAGTTAAATCGTTTGGCATCCTTGGTCACACTCTCGCCTTTGTGCGGCTCGGGACCTGGAGACCATCTCGCTTTGATTCCACAAATACCAGACCGTGACTCAGGCGCGAGCTATTCAAACATCCGACGACATGCGCGTGCTCTCTGTTCCAGCTTTCCCCCGGAATGTGCGGGAGGCGTTCGACAACCCCGAAGATCCTCATGCCGGTTCTCATGATCATTTATTTCAGCAAATGTGTGGCCAAACAACCGCGACACTGATGCTAGTTCCATTAGCTACGTGTGTTAGCATGAAGGCCTTTTTTTTTTTTTTTTTTTTTTTTTTTTTTAAAAAAAAAAAAAAAAAAAAAAAAAAAAAAAAAAAAGTGAGGTGGTCCAGATTTTGCCACAAGGAAATGAGCACCCCCCCCCTTCCCTCCCTCCTCCTTCCCACCTTCCGGTCCTGTCCTTCCCCTGCTGCCTCCTGCTGCTGTCGGTCTTTTCCTGGCTAAACCGCCATGAGGAAGGGATAAATAATTAAATTCCATTAGGAAAGTAATCTGTCAATGTGAGTGAGTGAGTGCCAGTGCCCCTACATGACCAAAATGGGAGGGAAGTGGGTCGGCGGTACTTCGATGTTTGGATGTGTGCCGCGTGTGTGCATGTTTGACCAAAACAAACACTCGATAAGCCCAAAAGGAATCACTGAGCAAAATCTTATCTGTCTTTTGCTGCTTTAACTTTAAGAAAATGTGGCAGCGGAGGGCAAAGGGCGAGCGAGAGGACGGAGTGTCACACCTAAACAAAAGGGCTTATGCACACATTTCAACATGTATTTCGTTCAGGTTAATATCCTGAAGCACCTCCCGGGACCAAAAGCTCATCAGTATTTTTCCTTTTTTTTTTTTTTGTGGTTGCTTTCCACGCCGCCGTTGACTCAAAGCTGTCAATCAACATCACAGACATGTCATGCAGAGCCGAAATAGACTCCGGTAAGAAGAACAAAGCCTCTATCTGATTTGAAATCACAAAGCGGAAACACAAGAGGGGCTGGCGCTGAGCTCAAACAAATCATTTCCTGGGGTTTGAAAAAGAAATCAATGAAGACAAGCGGGCTACTAAAACAGACTGATGGCTCTGCGTAAAAGCGTTGGAGATTCTCGCAGGAGTCCAAATTCACACCCGGTCACGTCGGGCGGCAACGTGTTTAGCTTAAGTCAGCGCGTTATCTAGGACGTATTTCCCTGTCGGCGGAGCTTTCACTGTCTTCTGATGGTCTTGATGGCAGGCTGCCGCAATAAAAAAATTATTTTATATACATATATGTGTGTGTGTGTGTGTGTGTGTAACATATTCGGGTGGAAATGGTTTGTTCGGGTTTGCCACTCCGATGCTAACGCTCGCCGAGGAGTCGTCAGTGTCCCGAACATGTGGGAGCCTCCCGGTGAATGTCGTGTGGAAAGTCATTCCAAGAACGATTAACCAGAACTCCACCGAGTTAAATCGTTTGGCATCCTTGGTCACACTCTCGCCTTTGTGCGGCTCGGGACCTGGAGACCATCTCGCTTTGATTCCACAAATACCAGACCGTGACTCAGGCGCGAGCTATTCAAACATCCGACGACATGCGCGTGCTCTCTGTTCCAGCTTTCCCCCGGAATGTGCGGGAGGCGTTCGACAACCCCGAAGATCCTCATGCCGGTTCTCATGATCATTTATTTCAGCAAATGTGTGGCCAAACAACCGCGACACTGATGCTAGTTCCATTAGCTACGTGTGTTAGCATGAAGGTTTTTTTTTTTTTTTTTTTTTTTTTTAAACACTGCACCGAATTTGACAGCCCCATTCGTTGTTGATGTGCCGTCGCGGTTCCACGCCGTGACGCCGCTCGCCGCAACTGCATATGCTCGGTGCGGTTGTCGCAAAGTCAAGTGAAGTGAAGTGGCATGATGAACAATAGCAATGTTAGCTTCAAATAAAATGTAGCATCGCCACACGTGTTTCACTTGAATCACCTCTCTTCATCCTCCCCACAAGCAAAGCTGCCCCCCCCCCAAAAAAAAAAAAAACAGTGTGAAAAAGCTCTAAGTAGCACTTGTTGAGTAGCTTAGCAACCTGTACCAAATGTGGACGCAGCACCAAAAGCAAATGAAGTGGGAAGGGGGCTCGACATGCGTAAGGCAACGCGAATGTGGATTTGTCTTGTTTTCCTCAGCTGGGAGTGGCCATCAACAGCTTGAAGCGAGCACACTCGGCCAGCGACGCTGATCCGTTGGGGGCCAACAATCTCCAGCCCACCTTTACGCACTTGACTGGAAGTCCTCCTCCTTCTCGCCAAGCCAGACGAACGACGATCAGCTTCGGTGAATGGCAACTTTTTTTCTTTTCCTGTTTTTGTCGCCGACCTTCCGAAAAGCTTTGCCGCTTTGTCTCCGCTTATCTCGACACGCGTCGATCCGTTTCCAAGCAACTATCGCCCGCCTCACTCCACCACATTCTTCACCTCTGAAAGTCGGATTCTTCATGATGAAAAGGTTGATTTTTAAACGACGACGCAAGGAGCCGTCCGCTTTCTTACGTATTCGCCGGCTTCGCGAGAAATCCGCTTGTCGAACAAATCAAAGCGAACGGGGCCGGCATTCACCTGCAAGCAATTACAAGCCGTCTCTCGTTTTGTGGCTTCTTGTCGAGTTGCCAGCAAAAATCCGCCCGCATGGCTCGTTTTGACAGCTCACTAAGTTGGACGCATCGATCGAAACAGATGTTTTTTTTTTTTTAATGCTGATACTAAATCTGATATTTGAAAATTCAAATTCCAATAACCGATCATTCAAAAATGCATATGATGAGTCAAATAATGTTTTTTTTTTTTGGGGGGGGGGGTCCCTTCAAGGTTGCAACAACAAAGACATGCATTGCAGGCACAACATTGGACTTTAGTATTTAACTTAACCACAGAGAGAAAAGCTTGCAGATTTTGGGCCATTTATGGGGGGCATGGGGGGGTGCAATATTTGACTGTCATTAATGTCAAATCCGACCATATCACCTGTCGCGGGGTGTTTCCGGCCCCCATTAAGCATGAAAAACAAAGGATTACCGGATCAGGAAATCAAACTGTTTTATGGTCGAATCAGAGCGGCAAATCATGGCTGAACCGAGAATGTCGTTGCGCGTGATTTGATTTGTCAAAAAACTGCCATCTGTCCCATTCTTCATAAACAAGAGAATCCTTCTATTTTTCATCCGTTGCAAAGGGGGTCCGTCGCTTTGCTGCGCAATCGCAAACGGCCTCGTCAAGGATTCCGTTTGTGAACCGAATGGTGTGTTGACGCGGAGCAAGGAGGAGGTGGTGCGAGAGAGTTGTTGATCCTTGGGCTATTTTTTGCCAAACACGCACATCATCAAAGCAGTCGGGGAATCTTAAATTGACGAGGAAAAGAGAGAGAGAGAAAAAAAAAAAAAAAGAGCATAAAATGTCTCCTTTGACACATCAAACTGAAAGCGAATAAAACCTTGGTGCTTTTTGGGAGGCTCGAAGCGGCAAATGCAGTGGAACAAACAACTCGAGGTTGAGCGCGAGGACAGGAAGCGGGCGCTTCTTGCAGAGGCTCAGGAGGAAAAATGGCGTGCAAGCGCGGCGCGACGACTCACCGGTTGTGTTCCACTCGTAGCACCAGTTGGAGGTCAGCGGAGGAGAGCGCAATTTCCCCTCTGATTGGCCGCTCATCCTGGTGGATGAAGAAGAGACATTCGGGGAGTCAGACCCTGACAGCGTTCGCGTGGTCGACGAGCCGGCCCCCCCCCCCACCGCCCCCCCCCCCCCCCCCGC